CAACGACTGTCCACCACTGTCTAATTATTATTAAACCATAGCAGAATATGAATATGATATGAATATTATAAAAGTAACAGTAGTTACACTCTGTCCCAGAGTTCAGACATTTCACAGAAATACTATCATTAAATATTCTCCAAACAAAGCAGTGGTCTGCTCCCATCCAAGGAAAATAACAGGCTTTCTAAAAACTGAGACGAACGTAACCCAGCTGTGTTTCACAATCCGAGTGCGGGAGCCGTTAGCAGTATGATCCAAATCATCTGAAGCTCTGCAGAGCTAAAAGGAAACCTGGATAAGCTTAAAGTTTGGGAGAGGCTCGCTTTGCTCTTTCATAATAGCAGCAACGTATTTGAGGCGTCAGCCGTTGAGGGATGAGCCGAGTCTTCTGTTTCCTCTGATAAATCAGAGCTCTCAGCAACAGGGGCAGAGCCAAAGGAGCCTCTTCTGTTTGCCCCCTGTGGCACCCCTGGCCCTGTTCACCACTGTTTGCCCAACCGTGTGCTCAGTATGCACAATGGGCTGCAGCCAAAGCACACAACTGCAGCACCCCGGCTCTCTTTGTGGAGGAGGACGGCCTAACTTTGATGTGCAGGAAGTTACTACTGACTCACCAATTCTCTTCTTCATCCGCAGATCGAGCTTCATGTTCATCTTGATGGCGCCATCAGGGTGGAGACCATTTTTGATGTTGCAAAGTAGGTTTATTTGCTTTATTTTTTTATGTATCTTAAAAACCACCATAAATATGGAGTGAATTTTGTTTCATTATTGTTACAGATTTTGCAAAGAGAAATCTAAAAAAAACATCCAATACAGAAATTACAATTTGAAATACTCCTTAAATCAAAATGTGTTAAGAGTAACTTAACTTTGATCAAATTATTACGTTTTTATTATATTTATCTTCATATTTACTTTTTCTCTTTCATTTTTTTTTTACAAATGTATATTTTCAAATGTTGTTTTCTCCAAATTCATGTTTTTCAGGTCCAATTTTACAAAGTGCATTGATGTTTTACAGTTAAAATTCTCTTTAATTCAGGCCCATTGATCAATAGAAATGCAGTTCCTAACATCCACATAGAAATGTATCTTCAGTCCTTATTGAAGAGAACTTCCCGACCGCAGAAGTAAAGAGAATGCAATTTATAAAGGACAATTTGAAAACAATACAATTTGAAAATAAGAATTAGAAAAAAATAAAAGAATATAAAACTAAAACAAACACACACAAAAAAAAACAATTTAAAATGTCCTGGGTTTTTTTTTTTTATC